CTCTTGCTCAGGTTGGTCTGGAACTCCTGACTTAAAGTGATCCTCCTGCCTTGGCATCCAGAAGTACTAGGCTTAGTAGCATGAGCCACTATGTCTAGCCCCTGACTAACATTAAAATATTTTTTTGCGGAGATGAGAGCCTGCTAGGTTGCACAGGCTAGTCCTGAACTCCTGGCCTCAAGTGATGCTTCTACATACCAAGTATTGGATTACAGGAGTGAGCCACCACACCCATGCTCCTGGGGGTCTTAACTACTTTTTTCCAGGGAACTCATAGACTCTTCTTTCAATATTAACCTCTGAGAAAGATACCCAACCTGCCTTACAGTGCCCAATAAAGAGATAAGCGTATGGCCTTAGTAGCCAAGGCCTGGATCACCCATTCTTCTTGGGCCTGTATTCACTTCTGGACATGAGAGTAGGGGGTAGAACACAATATTCTACTCACATCCTCTTCTTTCCCACCATAGGATAGTGCCCACGATGTGTGCTGATTATAGAAAGTTGCATCATAAATAATGATAAAAAACACTTAAAAATTAAATATGACCATTTTAATGTAAAATAGTTGGGGAAGGCTGCCACTCATTTTTTTTTTTTTTTGAGACAGAGCCTCAAGCTATCCGCCTGGGTAGAGTGCTATGGCTTCACTGCTTACAGCAACCTCCAACTCCTGGGCTCAAGCAAGTCTCCTGAAGGCTGCCACTCTTAAGCAGGACTTTCACAGCAACCTCAAACTCCTAGGCTCAAGTGATTCTCAGGTCTCAGCCCCTGAGTAGCTGGGACTATAGGCACCAGCCACAACACCTGGCTATTTTTAGAGATGGGGTCTGCTCTTGCTCAGGCTGGTCTCCAACTCCTGAGCTCAAGCTATCTGCCCATCTCAGCCTTCCAAAGTGCTAGGATTATAGATGTGAGCCACCATGCCCAGCTTACTTTCTCCCATTTTGTTTGGTGGAGGCAGGGTTGTGAGCTCTGCTCCTTATAAAGAATATTCTTCTGAGTCAGGCTGTATTTAATGGAAGAACAACCTCACTCTTCCACAGGCTGGTCTTGAACTCCTGAGCTCAAGTAATTCACCTGTCTTGGCCTTCCAGAGTGCTGCACTGAGCTATGATGACACCATGGAACTCTAGCTTCAGTGACAGAGTGAGATCCTGTCTCAAAAAAACAAAACAGGCTCGGCGCCTATGGCTCAACCGGCTAAGGCGCCAGCCACGTACACCTAAGGTGGCGGGTTCGAATCCCCAGCCCGGAC